TTTATTGACAGCTGCTAGCTGGAAGGCTTTTTTATTCTATCCAGATGAAATAAATAAAGCAGAGGCTTCTATTCATCTGGGGGAAAAAGAAAAAAAAAATAACAAATTTATTTTGCTCCTATGGTGGGCGTTATAACTATAGTGGATTTGTTTGACTGCCAATTACTGGTAACAGTCATCTGATTGTTATACATTTTATAAATGTGTCTAGTAGTGTTCTATCTGGAGATGTATATGGTTTAGGGGGGAAACTATCATAACTTTATCTCCCTCTCCACAAGATGAGAAAACTGACTCTGGTTTCTTTAGAGACATGGCCCACACCTTTCTACAGCCACAAGGGTATGTTATGGCCACTCCCAGGAAGGTCTGGTCAGAATACCATTCTCCAGGGAATAATGCTACTGTGGCAAATCATATGAGAGGGAAAACAGGATTTTGTTGAGTTTATTCTGAAGGTCAGAGAGCATGCCACCCCAACATATGCTGTGTTGTTCTATTGATAATCTTGAGCTGCAGATGCTTGAAAAACAGCAAATGCATGCAGAGTCTTTCATTGAAGTCTCCTGATCTGCCTAAAATCTAATTCCCCCTAAAGGAGCTCAAATGTCATAGATCCCCTTGATGGGAGAAGTGTCATCAGTGAGCAAAGATGGACTCCTGTCACAGGACAGGAAACTAGAGATTGACATCACACCCAAACTTTGTTACAAACCATTTCCCCCCATCCCCATTCATCCTTCCTAAAAATCACTTACTCTCCCCTAAGAGACCCACATCTCTGTCCCCTTTCCCTAGGAAAAAGGTATTTAAGTCTGGATTCTAAGCCACGTTGGGGAGTTATTCATTTTTCCCTGGATCTCCCACATATACACAAGGTACACGTTAATGAACTTTTGTTTTTCTCTTGACTATCTGTCTTTCATTACAAGGGCCTCTGCTAAGAACTCAGAAGGATAGAGGAAAACTATTTTTCCTCCTCCATAATTCTATCTGAGGAAATCAAGTTCCAGGCTGAACAATGAGATTGGCTCAAGTGTGAAGCAGTCCAAGCTGAGGGGAGGGAAGCTTGTAGGGAGAAATCAATGATATTGGCATCAAAGTGAGACAGAGGGCACATGCATGGCTGCTGGTGGGAGTTTAAAGTGGTTCAACGTTTTTGGAGGATGATTTGGCAAAATCTATAGAAATGCTCAAGGTACATCCAAGAGTCTCCTAGGAATACTGTCTGCTGAGATAAAGCATGAGCACATAAGCCCTGGTCAGATCCCAGGATGCTACTGTGGGCTCCCCTTCCACAATAGGAAAACTTGGGAACAATCTGCATTTTTAGGATGAGGTGGTATCTATATAATAAAAGCACAGTATGCTAATTAGACCAGACGACCTTTCAGATGAAGCCAGGGCTGCAGGGAAGGCCAGGTCCTGGGTGCCAGAGGGAAGCCAGTACCAGCAGCTGGCGGAAGGAAGGCCTACTCTTGCATGAATTTTGTGCATCGGGCATCTACCGTGTTTCCCCGAAAATAAGACATCCTCTGAAAATAAGACCTACTTACAGGTTTCCTTCTGAGTGAAATATAAGGCATCCCCTGAAAATAAGGCCCCCCAGGCTAAACATGAGAGATTTGGTCCACTGATTCTGAAAGAAATGGAGTCACAAGAAATTCACCAGGAAATTCAGGAATTGGATTGTTATGATGATGTTCCAGAATATTGTCATTGAATAAATGAGTAAAGTCTTGATACTGTAGGATTCACAGTTTGTCTGGTTTGTGTTGACAACTACCGTACTACCGTACGGTATACAGGTAAGAAATTTCCTTTATTTTCATTTAACAATAAATGTGTACCATATTCTTCTTCATGGAAAAATAAGACATCCCCTGAAAATAAGACCTAGTGCATCTTTGGGAGCAAAAATTAATATAAAACACTGTCTTATTTTCGGGGAAACAGGGTAGTATAATAAATACATAGCAGCTGAAGACCTGATTATCATGCAGCGGTTAAAACAAAATAGTGAGTTGAAAACAATGCTTGTAATTTTTTAAGTGAAATATACATCACTCATGAACACATGATACTTATGCATAGACACAGAAGAAAGTATATGCATAACATGTTTAATCAGAGCTTCCAGGGAGGGATTACTGTGATGCTGGAGAGGATTTTAACTTTAACATTCACATACTTCCATAACATAGTGGAATTCTAATTTAATTTTAATTAAATTAAAAAGACAAGATTAAATAAATTTAAAATAAATGGAACGGGGGATTGATACGGAGAACAAATGGTACAAATAATAGTGTATGCTCAAATTAAGAAAATAAATTTGGTAGTACAGGTGTTGGTAGAAAGACATTTCTACCAAAAATAATGTATGATGTTTGTTTTTTCTGAAAAACAAAACAAAATAAAAAAAAAAAGCACATGTTAAATGACTTTCTCTCTCCTTCCCTGCTAACAGCCACAATTCAAGTTTCTGGGCAAATGCAGGGAGGGAGCAGGCAGAACTGAACATTAAACAATGAACAAAGGGGTCTTATGGAGAAGAGGAGTTTCAGTATTACGTTATGCCTTTAAGAACCAAAGTGAGCTATGATGAAAAAAATGTTCTAGTTCCTTTTCAGATGAAAATAAGCTATGCCAATTCTGAACAATGCCAGCAGGCTGGCTTCCCAGGCTAGTCTGCAGGGGGCAGCCCATCCGCCTACAAGGATGGCTGAGGCGTGGAGCCTTGGGGACCAGCCGGTAGCCATCACCGCCTCCTGGGTGGGACGAGGAGGAGCTGTGGTGTCTTTGCAAACGGCTTCAGATCTCAAACCACAGCCGCCCACATCACCATCTGTTTCGTGCCATGTGGACCCTAAAGGAAAAATCCGGTTTGGTTCTGAAAATACTGTTTTTGCCTCACAAGGAATGAGACGTCTCCTTGGGCTCTGACTCCTGGCCCTCTGTTTTATATAACATTAATTAGAGATGCTAATTCTGTGCTGGCACGGTAAGGCAGCCACACCCTGGAATATGAAATCATAATCCGTAAAATTCTGCAAAAATGTGTCATTTTATCCAAGCGTAGCAGTTTTAAAAAATGCTTATGGCCCAAGGCTCCCTGACCATGAGTTCTAGCATGACGGGAGTCATAAGCTTGGCCTGGAGTCAATCTTGCTCTTCCTTTGACTCACAGACTTCTCTTATTTAATAAGAAACCTACCATTTAATAATGAAGTGCTCACATTTGACTTTGCAGGAAATAAAAATCCCCAAGATTGTTAATGAGATCTCAGGACAGAAGTTAGGAACTGTTTCCTATCAAAGCAATGTTACTCAGCCCCCAATGCTATTGGCTACCTGTGACACTGCATTTTTTCTCCCTGGCCAGCTGGCAAGATTTTAAGTTTTGTCAATAGGTGGTGTGGATGGGACCTTGGTAGAGGAAGGATCTTAGCTTGATCCAGGGCACGGGATCCCCCCACCAAGGGGGCCTCGCCCTCCAGCTTTCCAGCCCTAGCCCAGAAGCTCCTGCCTGCCTGCCAGAAGCAAAAGGGGATTTCTTGCTTACAGTGCCCTGCCTGCCAGCCAAGGTCCTCTGCTACCCCAGAGGGAGGACCCAACCCAAAGAGCTTCCCTGCCAATCACACCCGTCTGAGTATGTCCCCTTCTTGGGTTCAGTCCCTTCAGCCTTAGGATATTCTTTAGAACAGTGGTTGCCAAACTTTCGGGCCTCTCAGACCACACCAGTGATCCGAGGACCACCAGTTGGCGACTGCTGCTTTAGAATTCTTTTATACCCTCTTAGTAGTAAATAGCTTGCAAATAGTTAATAAGTCTCTCTATTAAAGCATCCCTGTTTAAATTACAAGAGGGTTTGTAACTCCAAACTGGACCCCAACGGATAGCCATTCATTGAAGAAGGTATCAGCTTTAAAGCTCATGTTGGCTCGCAATGTAGTTCCATCATTTATTTCCCACTGTCAGTGTGAAATAACTGCTAAACAGGTTATTTCAGGGCTTCTCTTGAATCTTTTAGGCTTCAATTCAACCAAATTAACAGCAACTAACTAGCAGAAATGACATCAACTGATAGTCATTAAGGGAAAGAGCTTTGTTCAAAATCCAAAATTTTAAATTTTTCATTTACCCTCATATTGATCTTGCTCACATTCTTTTCAGGTTAAAAGAAAAAGTCTTTTGGATTTTATAGGTGAGCACCTTCCTTATAGTTATTGCCTTATCTTTTCTTTCAACAGATTAAAGCTGGAGATCAATTTGGATACTTCACAACAATATTCAGTCTACTAATTAATGAACATGGTATATCTCTCCATTTATGGTTCTCATGCTATGTGCTTTGGAGTTGTACAAGTTCTTGGAGACACATCAGAGCTATTGTGGGGGATGGAAAAGGTCAAGCAGGTGTAATTTAGGGTTCCAGGATTATAGGTGAAATTTATTTAAAAATAATTACATTACTAATATTTTTTGAAAACTATGGATACTCTAGCCTCATTCTATAGGTGAATAAATGAACCCTGCTTAAGCATGTCCAATTACAAACAGACAAGACTAGACATCAAGTCTTTTAACAAGCAATCCAGAATGAGCTTTCATTCCAGAATTTGTGTAAAAATATTTTTGATATACTTTTTACATTTACTATCTATCATGACATGGAGTAATAAATTCTACAAATTTATCACAGATGGTTATGCTATATCACTTGCACTGGGTTTAAACACAGTGTAGTACAAAGAGAAATAACTTTGAAGCCAACAATTGGGTTTAAGCTGTGCTGGCTCCAGTTACAGGCAAGATTTGTGTATTATTTTAATGGAGGTAGTATGGAGCATTCAGGTCTACCAATGCTGTTCTTCAAACCTTGTTAGGGGGTGAATACACAAATTACTGAAACATATCCTAATCCTCCTCTCCCCCCCCCCCCCCAGGGTTCAGTGGAATTAATTAAATACTAATATTCTAATTAAAGTACAGAGTGGGTACTTGCTCCAGCAGCACATATAATAAAATTGGAATCATACAGAGATTAGTGTGGCCCCTATGCAAGAATGCACACAAATTGTGAAGCATTCCATATTTTTTATGTAATAATCAATAAAGAAAAAAAAAGAAATCAGATCTTGAAAAAAAAAAAAAAAGAAGAGAAAGTATAAGAATATATTCTGCTGATCAAATACATGCAAGTTATCAGGTCCTCAAAGACACAAAAAGTCCATAAAGCATGTGTGAACTAGCATTACATGAAGACCTTCTGCAGTAGACATTCTAGTGCCCTAACGGGGAAAACCCGGGTGACATCCAGGATGGACATCCTTTTCTCTGGTTTGCTTGCAAAGGCTTACACCATTGAAATTTAAAAATAAGAAACAGAGCTCATTTCAGTTAACAATGGAGTAAGTTATTGATTAGAATCCATATTCATAAGGCTTAACTACACTGAAGTTTATGAATGCTGAAGAAGCTAATTTTCTACCATAAAAATGCCATTGGAAAGTGCTATTACCTCTAAATGCAAAGGAGATGCGTTGCCCATTTTAGCTGTGTGCCTTTAAATTCCATGATATTGAATCTCTTATAGGACTTCAGACTTGCATCTTATTTAAATTAATTTCAAATCAATGACTCAGAAATGCATTGACTATAAAAGTTCAGCAGTAATACGTCTTGGTAAAGCTTGGTTTGGGAAAGGGAAAGAAAAGCAAGATGTTCTCCCGTGTGTGAAGGATAACATGTGGAGCCCTTGAGACTTGCTTTACCGCGCAACACTGGGTCGGTTTTTCTTCATATTCCATGTGTATTTTGAAAGTGCTACTTTGTCTCCAAATTCCATAAAAATCTTCTTGACAATGAAATAAAAATAAAATAAAGTACAGACCGGTAGGGAAAAAAAGAAAGTCTCTTTTTATATTCACATTTTTAAAGAAAAGAAAGGAGACAAGAAAAGGCAGAGTGACTCCTGAAGGTACTTCATGTTACGTTTTCATTATCACTGTTTTATTTCTACAGCAGGGCATGCCGAGACATACAGTGAATAAAACGTCTTCATTTGATTTCTTCTTTCTTTTCTGAGTGAATTTTTTATCTTCTCATCTGAAATGACAGGCTGATATTATCAAAGCTGTGTATCCTGAGAGTCAGTAGTGAACACGAATTTCCTTTTTTCATTATTTTTGGTAGAATACACAGACCGTAGAGGTAAGCTATCAGCACCCATATATCTTCAAATCCTTACTAGGTTCCCTTAAGGGGAAAGAAGGTAAGTAACCTGTCATCGCAGACAGTGTACCTTTCCTTCACAATGTTTAAAATTTTATCATGAAGAGATGAACCAGACAAAAGAAAGCATTTCTGACCAAAGCCACTAAAGAGCAAATACTGAGTCTCAGAAATTCAACTGTAAGACTAAAAACCAAAACCAAAACAATAACACTCAAAACATAGTACTTTTGCCTGTTGACTTGTACTTGCTTTCTTCATTTAGTTACATATTTCTGAAAACCGATCTACCATTTGACTACCTTGCTCCTATAAACGTTATTCTGATGAAAACCAAAGAAATATGAATAAAATATTTGGAATTGATTTTTTTATCCTTCACCTGAGGGTATTTTTCCCATTGCTCTTTAGAGAGAGTGAAAGGGAGAGGGGAGAGAGAGAAACATCTGTGTGAGAGAAACACATTGATTGGTTGTCTCCTACACGAACCCTGAGCCCCAACTGGGCCAGGGATCAAACCTGCAACCCAGGTACATGCCCTTGACTGGGAATCAAACCCATGACCCTTTGGTGAGCAGGCCGATGCTCTAACCACTGAACAGCACTGGCTGGGCTTGCATCGATTTTAACATGTGCCCTTCTCTTGGTTTATATGTTCATCTTAGTTAATACGTTGAGTTTCCTGGAACACAAGGAAGCATTCTGAATTATTCCCTCCACAAGCTGTTCTTCTGACCTTGTCTCTCAATATGAAGACCTCACTGAGAATGTCTCCTTGGTTAAGGGTTTGAGAAAGACCCTCTGAAAATGAAACCTTATCTTTGTCTTTTTCTCCTTCCTAAACCATGTCCTGAATATTACCATAGCTGTGTATGTGGGAGGAACAAAGTCGCAGTGCTCATCTCTGTCACTGGAGAACACCTTGATGAACTGCTTACACCAAAGCCAATCTCAGCATCTTCTTCTGTACCTGCGGGAGAGGCCACGTCCTTCTCACACTGTCTTGGATTCTGTCCCAAAGCTATAAACAGAAGGCTTGGCCTGTCAGGCGTGGCTGACATCAGTGGAAATAACCTGGAATGAGTGTGCACATCAGCGAAAATAAAGCACAGCTGTTTGGAGGGCGGGGTCACAGGAGATGACACAGGAAAATACTGAGCAGTGAAATGGAAGTAGCCAATAGTAGGCATATTTGTAGTTCTTTTTACCTTAACACAGATAGGGCTTTGAACACTGAATTAAAATTATAGACTAGATTCCTGGCACTTGTCAAACTCAGTTCTTGGGCTCCAAGGACTAACCATGGAGGATGGGTCGAGGCTGGAGGAAGTGAGAGTTCTGCTGTCTAACTTTCTGAGCAAGCAGTTGGTTTAAAAAGAGGAGAAAAAGAAAGAAAAAAAAAATCCCAACTTGCTTCTTGTAGCATTTTCATGAATAAAATCATTACTTAAAAAACTAGAAGACAAAGAAACACATATACCAGAGGAAAAAATGCTAAGCCCTGGCTGGGAGCTCAGCTGGTTAGAGTGTCTGTCGTCTGTATACCAAAAGGTTGTGGATTTGATCCCTGGTTAGGGCACATACAAGGGCAACCAATCAATGTTTTTCTCTCACATTAACGTCCGTGTCTCTCTCTCTCTCTCTCTCTCTCTCTCTCTCTCTCTCTCTCTCTCTCTCTCTCTCTCTCTGTGTGTGTGTGTGTGTGTGTGTTTGTGTGTGTGTGTCTTTTCCCCTGTCTCTTTCTCCCCCTTTCCCTCTCGCTAAAAATTAATTTTAAAAAGCACACATATCCTTGGGTGATGATTATAAAACAAAAACAAAAACAAAAAACTAAGTGGTGATTGAGACAGAATAGTTTACTAGTAAACAATAATTCAATATTCATAAGTCAGGAAATACCTGTTGTAACATACAGACCATTCTTTAACACTCAAAAGTTAAAGGTTCACTGGTGTATTAAAGTCACCGAGATTATAAGATGGACAATGTAGTACAGCACCTCTTACCTTTTTGAAAGAATGTTGGTACAGGTCTGTTCAAATAAATGAGTGCTCCCATTTTAACCAATTCATGCCAACTTAGATATGTAGGAAGAAAGATCATCTGCAGTGACCCCCAACCCTGTTCCTTACTCCCAAAGTAATGATTATAGGCTTTTGTTTTGTTTTGGTTTTTAATATATGTTATTGATTTTTTACAGAGAGGAAGAGAGAGGGATAGAAAGTCAGAAAAATCAGTGAGAGAGAAACATCAACCAGCTGCCTCCTGCACCCCCCCCACTGGGGATGCACCCACAACCAAGGTACATGCCCTTGACCAGAATCAAACCTGGGACCCTTGAGTCCGCAGGCCGATGCTCTCTATCCACTGAGCCAAACAGGTTAGGCCTGATTATAGGTTTTTAATGCCTCAATTTGACCTTGATACTGTATTGCCAGCACTTGGCTTGAGGATCTGTGCACTGCCCCGCCTAGCCTAGCACAGCTTTCATTCGGTTGCCAGGCAATAAATATTTTTACTGCCTAAGTGTCTACTTCCTTCCACAAAGTGGCTCACTGACAGACCAAAGACATAATTCCTGAAAGGGGAAATCTTCCTATTGACACAGTAGAAGAGAATGGCCTTTATGGACAGTATTCCACTTTGATTCATCTACAGCATACCCCCCCCCCCCCCCAATCCCCTAACAGACTTTATTTTATAGAGCAGTTTCAGGTTCACAGCAAAACCGAGCAGAAGGTACAGAGATTTCCCATATACTAGCAATAGCATCTTTTACTATTACCAAAAATTGAGCTCAATGTTTGAAAAGATATACAAACACTGCATTACATTTGTTTAAAAACCTTTTTGCTAGATAGATTATAATTTCACTAAAGTTAATGCCTTTTCCATTTCCTACCCAATTAGACATCATGGTATCAGGAAGCTCACTGTTATGAGAACGAGCCTCTGTATACACCACCTAATTATTTGTCTAAGCATATTTTTCATTCCGAGGAAGAAAATTAATAAGAAACTGGAAATTTGATTTAGTGCCCTTATGGTTTAGATTCTAGATTTCCACAGAGTGGCACTACCAGCCAGTACTAAGTACTACAAAGAAAACTCAATGAAAATTGTGCCAAACTTCATCAAAGTAGAAATTCTCTGAAGCCCGCTGCTGGGTGTATCCTAGGTACCCACAACTGCTGTACGAACTGAATCACATCCAAAGAGTCTATGATCAGATTAAAATGTGCATACATCACTACTCTGTGTGAGAGAGAAACAATATTTCATTTTAGCGGAAATAAGATGGGATCTGAGAAGTGAACCCAATGTTATTCTCCAAGCCACCTTTATGCATACCTTCCAGCTAGTTACTTTTCTTATGGCAAACATGAAACACTTATTAACACTAAATTTTAATCAGAGAAAATTGATAGTAATTTGTTCTGAGCTTCAATCAAATGAACTATGTATCTGAATGTTAAATCTTACATAGCATTGGAACAAGAACTGCAAAAGGAGAAACTAAATGAAAATGTGAACTCACATCTACTTTTAAACAAACAAATGAAAGAAAATATTCTCTAATTTTTAAAGTGGTTCTTAATGTCATCCCCATAGAGTTCCCCCCAAAAGATGCACTTTTTTAAAAAAAAAGAACACAGTGAAGTTTAAAAAAATGCAGTAATTCTGTTGGAGAGGATGTAAACTGATGCAACCCCTATGTAAGTGTGATGGTTCCTTAAAAAATTAAAATGGAATTCCTTATGACCCAGTGATTCCTCTTCTCAGAACACTAATTTGAAAGAATATATGTACCAACTTGATAATTGCAGCATTATTTACAATAGCTAAGATGTGGAAGCAACCCAAG